CCCCTGGCACCCAATCACTTGTCTTCTAATAATGTGTTATGTAACCACTAACCACTTTTGTGTGTTCCTAGAGGTTGTGTGTGTTTGAATATATTTCCCTCTAATTATGAGGATTTGGTTTTTTGTACACCACACCAATAAATTACATGATATTACATGTTTTGTGTCTTTCAGTAATTCTCCCGCGAGTATTCTAGCTTATTTCTATTCCCTCTCAGCCTTAATTATGACATTTGGTCAGCTAATTTCGTAGTAATTAACCCTTTCAACCCCGAGTTATATTCTGTATGACACAGAATAGCGGTAATCTTTAAAATTGTATGGTTAAGTTTCAAAGGAGAAGCTTCTGTTTGAAAGTGGTTTGAAAAAGCGCGCGAAAAGTACCAAAAACTGGACAACATCGCGAGAATGTTCAAGCTGAACAGTCTGAAAGCCCGCATGAACGAGCTCATCCGACTTCACCAACAGCTAATCAGAAGGACCGACGAGCAAGAGAACCGTGTGACGATGACCCCCGCCGAGGAGAACAAAGTCCACGGCTTTGCGCTTACAATCAACCCGCTAATGGAGTAGGGGGCCCACGAGATTCGCTTTATCGCCAATCAAGAGAAATACGTGACAAGACAAGCGGCCGCTGCCGTTGGGGTGCTCTTTGAATTCACGGAAACTGACAACCCAATCGACTTGCGTCCGAATTTCCAGCGTCGCGCAAACGCTCGGCTTCGTGCTCGTGTGGGAGCATATTTTCGAGATCATCCGGTAAGCCCTTATTGTGTACGATCTACTCTATATCATACTGTTGCTAACTTATTCTGTATTAACTGTTAGAGCAGCAAGCGGCACCTCCACACATCGTGTTTCGCTGCTGTCGCTCCTAGTGGGTCGTCAATACACCCTTCCCCCTCGAAGTGGTCACGGAAATCCTAACTGAGCTTCTGGAAGAAACCAATGCTAGCCTACGCTTAGTAGCTATGTACGGTGAAGCTGTGATGATGGCACCGTTTCTAGTTCAGAAGGGACTTCAAACTTTGGACAGAGACACATTCCGA